AAATCGCGTGTTGCCGCATTCCATTTGCCTTGGTACACGGAGAAGGGGCGGAGACCGTGATCGCGTGCGTCTGTGGTTTTGGTTAATGACTTTAATTGGGGGGGTACTGGTGTGGTATACAAAGCTAGCTGTAAAAGTAAAACTTACATTGGTTCGCCTTAGTTACGATCCACGCTGGTGTATCACTGATACCCAAATACAGAACCTTCCCGGATAAGACTAGCTGGTTGAGGGAGGTCATTACCTCCTCGATGGAAGTGCTGAAGTCCCACCAGTGGACGTAGAGCTATTTATTCGGAGGGTATTTGTTAGCAAGTATATCCGGAGAAGTAAGCTCAAAGAAGTGGGCAGCCACAGCCACGTACTAGATCAATATAATCTGTCTTCAATTTCTTCAAACTTGCGTCAACAGACAGCTTCAAGCTCTTGGCGTTATTGCCGATGAAGTTGGCTTGGATCTCAGACTGGTTGTGTATACGGTAGGGAGAGGTATACTTCGTCGCGAGGACGATTTGATCGCGCACGCCGCGAGCTTCCATCCACTCGCCGAGCCATTTTTCGGATTCTTCCGCTTGGTAGTTATTTGCTCTTTGGTGTTTTGTTAGTGATTAGATTCATTAAGGAATATTCCAAGGCTGATTGATTGGGGCTATGCATACGTATCGATGAAGTTGCCTCCGTTCTCATAGTATGTATCCAGGATCTGGAAAGAGGTCTCTTTGTTGCATTCGCCAAGGAGGTCTTTCCTGTTTTGGTGTTAATTGCTATATCATTGACATTCGGGATATGGATAAATATGTCTAAGGAGGTATTCCACGTACCAGCCATCGCCGAAGTTCATCGCACCTAGGCATAGTGGGCTCACCTTGACGCCGGCAGTGGGCGCCAACAGGCGGTAGCGGCCGAGGTAGGATTTAGGAGTGGGAGCTCGGGAAAACATGGTGGGAATTGAGGATTGAAGCTGATTTGGAGTAGAAATGAGGATTGGGGGGGATCTGGAAGGGCCAAGGGGCTTTTATAGCACACCATATGTGGGGTCAATTGCGTTAATGATCTATATAGGATATATGTCCTCAAGGTGTGCCGTGTATTTAGTATAGCCAACTATGCTGTACGTGTAGTATGACCTCTTTAACTCCTAAGTCCAGCTAAATCTGGTTTGTAAGAGAGTTTAGGGTTAACTTCGTTGGGATACAGTATATGCTAATACAGTATTTGCTACATTTTTTACTTATTCATATGTCCAAGTAAATAGAGTCGTTCGTTTTAGTTATATTAAAGCTCAGAATCCACAGGATTTCGATTGACCACCCGGATATACAGGGCCAGGGCCACCCCCAGGGCCATCTTCAGCCTTAACGTACCTCGGCCTCATTAACGTTAGCCTCACCATCATTGGCCTCACCCCTGTCATGCTCCCCCTCATCCTCGTCCTCATACTGGGATTCCGGGTCGTCGAGATCGTAATGTTGGTCGTATATATCATCCACAATATCCCGGTACTCTTTCATATATTCATCAAGCTCAGAATTGTCCTCTCCGAGAACACCGCCCCAAGTTTCCTGCTTTGGGGGAATCATCACAGGCCCTGATGTCAAATCATCAGCTCTATCGTCCTGGATAACATAACTACCGGACACGGATTTGGCCTTTCCATTATCAACAGGAGGAACAAGCCCTCTGCCTTGGCATCTGGGACACTCGCAATTCTTTCCAAACAACTGTATGGCGTGCATATTGAGATCGATGTCTTCGCCGACAGGATCAGCGATCCTATAACGTTGATACGGAATTCTAATCTCTTCCCCAGCTTTGATATCTTTGTTCGCCCAGATGACTACGCGGTTGGGGACCTTGTCGTCGTATCCCCACAGAGCGTTTTCAAAAGGCCGACAGGAATGATTGAACATGCTCAATCCAGGGAAGAGGTAGAAGTTTCCGAACGATGGCTCCATTGCCGAGAGATCTTCAATTCTCTCTTTCATTCTAGACTGTAGGGTTGGGTGTAGCACTGGCTTGGGACCATCCCAGACATTGAATGTTGGGTTCGCGCCTCGCCGTGCATGTTCCCAGGGAACAGCATTAACCAGCAACTTCCGCAGCACGGTCTGAATAATCCAAGTGTCAAACGAGAGGTCGCTGAAGATGTCCACTCCAAGATGGAAGAGGATATCGAAAGGTATTTGGATATTACCAGCCAGAGTGAAAGGGAACCAGCTGTCTCTCCACGGCTCGTTCGTGTCAGTGCCTGCCTCGAGAACGAGGAGTTCGTTAATCTCATGCGCGAGAAGATTAGGGTCCTCTTGGCGGCGGTGGAGCGTGAGTTCGAGCACGCTCTTCAAGAGTAGACTCAAAACAGTCCCGTGGCGCTCATTGGTGTGAGTAAAATATTGCGATCCGCCCCACGTCACTTTATTAGGTCGCATGGCATCGTGCAACCAGCCCCAATCGAGGCCACAGAATTCTTGGAAATGGTATGTCTCCCGTGCAATGGCCAAGCAATTGGGAGCAACACCGTCTGATATTGCATCGTTGGAAGAACAGAATAGTAGAGCGCCTTTTGTAGCTCTGAAATATCCTACATCTGCACATTTACACATCATGTCAAGACACGCGCAAGTAGGCGGGTGTTCCCATCCTGGGAGGGGCACCGGATTGCTAATGGAGACCCAGTTGTTCTCGATATGCCGAACCTCGTCTGGATCAATCACCGCTTGACAGTTGTCGCATCGTGGGGCGTGGAGGGGATCTTCGCTTTCATCATCAAGTAGCCTGTTTGGTATGAGATTTCCGCGAATAACGGGTTCCTCGTAGTGAATCAGGGTTCCTGCTTTGATGTTTCCCGTAGCAAATACTCCCAGGCCATTGAAGGAATTGTCCTTCGTGAGTGTCGATTGTACCTGGCATGTTGGTTTGGCAGACTTCCCAGGACTGGCATTAATTGTGAAAAGATTTGCATTAAGTGCATTGATGAAATGTGGTGCTTCGCGTCTCACGTCTGCTTGGTCATATGGATATTTACCGGCGCCTGAAATCCATCCTCGGCTCCATTCGTGCCCATAAAGGGATGGATGAAGCACCGAGGGATTCTCTCTCCTGTGCTCGATCTCCGCTCTCACGGGGGCGCTCACTGTCATCCGCTTTTTGGGGACTGATGCATCGCGGTATGGTAGTGGTCTTTGGAGTTGACCCTGCATATGGTCTTCGAAATCATCCCAACAATTCAGTGCTGCGAGGCTGAGACTGGTGATACTGTGAAGGGCATTTCTCAGAGTTGGAATAAAATAGTTGATACCATTTGCCTTCCGCATTTGCAGAACTTCCCTTGTCATTGGGACTCCCTTAATCTTCAATTCTACCATCAGGTGCTGCTGAATGGCATCCCAAACTCTGGTATACATTCCAGGGCGCTTGTTCCTTTGCGTTGCTGTCGTCAACACCTCGCAGAGAAGTTCCCCGCGATAAGCGTCTCCAATAGCGAGATCAAAATGGCCCAGCAGATAATGACAATACGCACGACTGTTCCAGTAAGCTGGGTTGTACGGGCTCAGTTTGATTGCCGCGGTGTACATTTCAAGTGCAGACATATCTGTTCTCGTAGCAGGGCTCATTACAGGCCTTGGTTCACGATGGATACCCCAGTGACTCAGGTTGCTTTGTCTCGAGACCCCAAAGCGCTCATCACATTCGTATTCCCATAGACGACGTTGAAGGTCTATTTTTCTCCCGTCTGACCTTAAACTCCTTGATGTCAGTTCGTCTGTGAGTGCATCTTTCGTCCAAAGATCTGGGTCTCTGACGTTAAGGCCGTGGACGAACACTTTTTGTTTCATTGCGTCTAGCCCCTGCACGCCATTATACGTCTCATCCAAGCCCTCCGCTGTGAATCTGGCTCGTGCATCCTCGCGAGAAATAGGCAGAAGTGGGTTGCTCATCAGGTGCTCATAGACATTGTGAGCCAATGCATGCATTACCGATTGTTTTTCTTCGGTTGCTCGCGTATAAGGGCGATTCGCATGCGCCTTCCATGCACGCCCGAGGGATTCATCGGGCTGTTGCCAAAATCGACGTGCAAGAAATGCGTCATCTTCAGTCAACGCTGGAGCTAGAGGTGCTCGATTGAAGATATCTGGACGCTTTGGAAACGGGGGTGGGTGGACAATATCTCCTCCTGGATAGACTTCGTGTAGTCGTTGCCTCGGATCCATCTTGATATTTTGGTGTATTAAGCAATGGAAAATAGCAACTGTAAGAATGGCTATATGATTGAAAGATTATGCGAGGTCTCAGGATTTCGGTTTCCTTAGATCGCATGAGAGTCTGAGACTGATATGGATCCATGGAGTTGCCATGAGAGTATAAATGTTAGATTAGTTCTCATGTTTGTCGTAGGTCACGATTGAAAGAAATTACATATCAAAGATGCCCAGAGGACAAAGAAAGGATAAGATTATGGTGGTTTATTTTTGGAGGTGAACGTAGTTGACTTGAGTATAGATCAACAAAGAACTGCGAAAAACATGCGATATTTTGAAATGAAATTGCTTCTGCGACAATGAAAGCTAGCAGATCCCTTAGCTAACTTCTTACCAACACCAATATGCAATGAGCAGAGAGATCGGGCTCGGGAGATTTCTGAGATCCACTCCACCTTTTAGTGAGAAACAGCTGGGGTATAGAGGAATGGCAAAACAAAGGATGAAACGCCAACCATGCATGGCCTATGGAATTTTCTTGAAGGCTTGTAATCCTAAGCCTTGCGTTAGCTTTGGATGCATCGGTCCCAATAGATATGATATATACATATATGCCCAACGGGTAGTACGTTGTAGTTGGAAAGTTGCACTGGGAGTCTCGTGGGGGGTGAACCGTGCTGACCCAACCCCAACACAGCCCTGGAGCCTTGGAGCCTGGAGAAATCCTTCGACACTTTTGAACTAGACTTTTAAAAGGTTCCCATGTCTTTCTGAAGTGCATAAAGTGCCCCGATTCATCTTACCATGTACGGACAGTCAAATAATCCCGATCCTCCCTCACAGCCAGAATGGCGACTTCCTCCGCGTCTCCCCGCGCAGCCGTCGCAGCCGTCGCAATCAGGGCCTCCTCCTCCCCCTCCTCCTCCACGCCCCCCTGTTGCTCAATATTCACCAGCTGCTACATATTCACCGGCCACCTATGGACCGATTTCCAATCCACAGAGACTACCGTCACCGAGTGGTGCGGATACAACCACGTGGGGAGTGCGGTTCAACCAGACCTCCGGTCCCCCGTTGCCGGCAAGTCTGACGTTGGAATGATAAATATAACCAACTAACAGCCACATAGCCCCGACCTTCAAGTACCAATGAGCAACGATATGCCTATGGGCAATCTCAGCCGCATCCATCTGTCACCACTCCTTTTCACGGCACCCCAACCCCTCCGCCCCCACCTCCATATACACCAACACCACCCAGTGTTCCACAACCACCCCCAAAGATCCCACAAAGCATACAACATGTACCAACCCCAGAAAGCGATCAGCCAGGGCGACCTCCGCTACTCGCGCAGGGCGCAGGACCGGCTGCGATGACTGGATCTTACGAATTCCGCCCTACGCCTATCCTCAATACAAATACTACATCTGTCGGTGCATCGGCTCTGGGTCTTGGAACACCATCGGACTGGGAGCACCTTGGACCGACCCCTGGACACTTCGATGATGCAGCGTGGTTCCCACCTCGCAGGACGCCCCCTCTGCATCACGAAGGGGTTCAACCACCATCAAGCCTCCCGGTCGATGCTACCAACGTGTTTGTGGGAAGCGAGTCTGACATGGTCGCTCGCCCGAGAACAGATACAAACGAGACGCTTTCAAGTACTATCTCTGGGGCGACACAGTCGGGACGCGGTAACTCAAATTCACCCGTCAGTCCATGCACGACACATGGAATACCAACACCACCTCCACTGGTTCGCGTGGATACCACCAACTCTGCCTTGTCTACGGGTGGACGCTCAGAAAGCATCGATAATGTAATAGATGCATGGGTCCGTCCGTTATCGCCTGCGCATAAACCAGTTCAACCGGAACATCAGGGCCAGCCCGGCGCATTCTATCACAATAGCCCAGTAGAGCGCTCACAGTCAGCGCAAACCAGCTCGTCATACTTCGACCATTTGCGATCGAACTCAAATAGTTCTGCACGAATAGTCGAAGGACCCAGAAGGGCGGCAACGCCAAAAAACCAAGACCCTTTCGAAGATCTAGACCCCTGGTCTAAATCATCGTTGGAAAGATACGTCGCTATGCTGCGCAAGGAGGCAGTGGCAGACTTGGATGAAGAACGATATAAGATTTTCACGGCTTTCATGGCCAAAGAGACCAAGCTCCGGGAGATTCTCTATAATATTGAGCATGAGCCTGAAAGTAAACCGCTGACTCCGCGAGCTCCGGACCCTGCTCCACCACAACCGCTATCTATTTCCAACAAAAGCGACCCACCTGTTGAGTCAGGACTAATACCCGTTGCGTCAGAAGAAACCCCGCCTCTCTCGGCGGTAACAGCGACAGAGGATGAAGATCTCGATGATGTTCGCAGTGAGTACAGTTCAGGTGGCCGGCCTCTGCTCGCTAAGCAAGCACAACGAGCCTCTCAATTTGTTCCTAGTTTATCTACTGTGTCCTCGGGCACAGAGTCCGGTCTGTCAAGACCCTTATCGCTCATGTCGGCAGATACGCAGAAGCAGGTCTTGGAGCCCTTGACTACAAACCCCCCGCGACCCATATACACGCCATTCCAGTATACAGAGGGTCCTCAGCGAGGCTCGGACAACCTCACCTTCGCTCGCCCGGCCTATCAAGCCTACTCTGATCTGCGGCAAGCTGCTGTCAGCGGGCGAGTCATGTCAAATGCACCGGGACCTACGTCTCGATCGAGGTCAAACACTGCCCTTGCTTCTCCGGCTCAGAACGATACTGATGAGACCTTCCTGGGCCTGATCCGTCACAAGAGCGTCGCTTATTCTAAACCAGCTGAGCGAAAATCTCCGCCGCTTCCATTGCTGCCAGAAACTCTTCGTCAAGGCCGGCCGAGGGGCCTCGTGGAAGAATTACGCACCATCGTATGGACACCCTTAGACAAACACTCTGAAAGCTCCTGGCACATCACTACTCGGGAAGAACTCCAAAAATTCCCTGATGATTTGTCGTACATCGGACGGACCGTTGGTCAGTGGGAAGAAACAGCGAAAGCCAGACGGCAAAAGCTGGAACAGGAGCGCGTGGCTCGTCAGGATGAATCGGAGCAGCACATCGATGATCTTTTCAATGGGAAGGAGATTGGGTATGCAGACATCAATACCTTGGAAGAAGACTTTCGGCAAACCGAAGCTCGCATCCAATTAGAGGAGGAACGACACGAAGTAGACGATTTCGTGACACATGTCTTCAACCCCTTAGATGAAGGCCTGAAAAATGAAATTTCAGCGCTTCGCAAGTCCTACGACTCTGCTCTCAGTCAACTTGACCGTGATCAACAGGGCAAAGGCTCACCAAGCGAGCGAGGCAGCCCATCTGTGACCATGAAAATGGTTAACGACATTCATAACAAGCTTGAGATCCGATTCCAGAAACGGCTTGAGATGGCCCTTGATTGTGAGCGACGACGGAAGAGGGCTGAGCGGCGACCACTTGTGGTTATGGGTGATATAGCTGGTCTGCAAAAGCTAGACGGAGAATTTGACCAGATGGAACGGCGAAACATTCTAGAAGCGTGCAAGGATCGTGATGACCGAGCCAACCGACTGATGGATTCATTTGACGACGCAATCCTGAACGGGCTAGGTATAAATCAGACCCTCCTAGACGAGGTTGCCTCGAAAGCAGCCCGGCTAGATACCGCCACCCTCCGAGCCTCCGGTCTACCGGATTCTGAGATTGAGCAGATTCTCAAATCTGCAGCAACTTTTGCTGCGTCCCTCCGAGCCGATTCGGAGGCCATCATCCGCAGCGCTGGGGTTGCAGATATGGCCCTAAACGACGCCGACTATGGAGTCTCCGTGGCCGAAGCGCGATATGCCAACTCAGATCCGGATATTTTCCAGCGACTGGGGGATGAGAAAAAAAAGAGGATGAGAAAATCCAGGATGAGCTGAATTCAAAGTTGCAGAGCATTCAAAAGGGGCCTTTGCAGATTGAGGCCACAATTCAACGCCTCCTCCTCGGCTTACACAGTGACCCACAAGCCGCTGCCCCGGTATCTCCAGTCCAAGAACCTTTCCCAACGAGCCCATCTGACGAAGTGCCTCCTCTACCTCTAAGTCTTCGTCCTTCGGCTACTACCCCAGGTCCATCTGCCAGCCCAGCGCCCATGAGCCAAAGCACGGATGATGACTTAGAACATAAACAGAGGCTTATCAGAGCGCTAGAGGCAGCCAAGCAGCGCAACGCTGCTAGGAGCCACCATTGACCAGGTTGGAAGCGGGCCGAATGGAACATCCATGACGCGACGAATCGCAACGAATTTACTTGCGTTTCAATAATATACCCTTTTCTCTTTTGTCATGTGCAGTGCTTCACTGGATTTTGTTTCTGCTACTACATATTTTCCAAGTTGATACCCACTTTATGCAATCTACTAGTTAAATGAAGACTAGGCTAAATTGCCTATTTTGATCATTTTGTCTCGCACACTTAGATTAAAGCCAATTCTTACTATGTGGGCCCTGAATCTGGTCTTATTTCTTCACGGCAGTCGGGTTTGAAAAAAAAAAATTCTAAACAAGATTATATGAATATCAAAGTTGTATGTCTAGTTCGAATCAACCAAAATTTAACGGAGTCTTTTTCCCGATGTTACACGAAGATTCTTTTCTCTTAGCATTCTGAACTTCCAAGGTTATCTTGTTGGCTATAAACACTAGCACCATAGTATTCTGTCTTAACTACCTCCAGAGTTCACAGGACGACTCTGATGATGGATCTGATGCTTGAAGCCATACCTTTTTCCCCTCCCCAGAGGACTCGTAAGCCTCCGCTGCATTTTGAGGGTATGCTGATGTTGTTTTCTCCTTCGCGCCACTGTGGCTGCGTCATGGACAGGGGCCAAATTCAGTCAAGTGATGCAACGTCCAGGAAGGGGGGGAAACAGCGCACAGACGATATCTTCGATCCCTAAAGAACCATGCTTAAGAAAGTAAGCCATCACCTACGTCTTGTGTGAAATTGACCGCAGTGCAGAGCCGGGCACATTTTTTAGGCGCTGAGGGATGGCGATTGGCAGGCGATAGCCAAGCCGGTGAGCTAAACGCCAATTGCTGCCGATCAACTGTGTTGCGCAGTCAAAAGTGCCTGCCGCAGCTCAGCAAGTCTTGTCTCGAGCTGCCCTAGTGCTTGGGCCGCATCAAATTGCAGGGATAGAGGATTACCTTCAAACCCAATACCCAATATGGCGGGTCTTGCTGTGCCGCACAGTTCCCTGTGCGCCGCGCTCGGATTCACTGCGCCCTCGCACTATACGATGGATATCGATCCCCGGACAACTTGCGGCCGAATGAACGCCCCAGACAACATAGTCTCCTGCGCAGGACTTTTGAACCACTTGATATGTCGTCTTGTTCGGTTACACTTCGGTGATCCACTTTCCAATGATTGATGGGCTCTTTATGCGATATGCAAGGCAGACCCTTGCTATCACCAGCGCATCTTTGATGACCTTGGAGACATGAAATGGTACCAGAGAAATAAGGATATTGCAGCGTATACCTCTTGCCTATGCTCGGCTGCGCTCGCCATCCTTGGGGGATTAGAGCATCGGAATTCTCATCGGGGATCCCGTCATGTCCGCCAAGAAGCCCTCATTTGGACTGGTCTATCACACCCAACACACGTTAAGATGAACAGGGGTCTTAGTGCGCTTTCTTTGTTTTCCTTGTTGAGGCATGGTTGTCGCGTGGACTGGCTGTGTGGCACCTGGACAAAAAAGAGCCTCGGGTGCCCGACCTACCCGAGAGCCATGGCATCCTAGTAATTCTCCACTACGGAAAATACAAAGGTGCAATCATAGTCAAGGAAAAGGAACTTATCCGAATGGCGGGTCCAAGTCATGCTGTTCTGGAGCTTCGAAACAATTTCCAATTTGCTTTTGGTTGCTCGGGCGGCGATCACAGCTTGCGCCTCTACGGTGTGAGGTATAGGCTGGGTTTTATCTTGTACTGTATTGGGAGTACAATGTTTCCCTATCCTCGTTATCTCCCCAGCTTCGGCGGCATCGTCCATACGCATTTTCCCTGCATCAGGATCAATATCGAACTCGCCAACAGCGTCTACGCACGCGAATACGATATGCGAGCTTTGGGTTGGCCAATTATAGAATCAGCCACCTTACGACTCTCGGAGATCTACATACACATACCAAGATTTTAACTTTCTGTCGATCTAGTTACATTCTTTCCAGTCGCATGCATTGCTCTCGGACAAAAACAGCACAGCATCTTTACGAGACATAGCTCTATGTCCCCGGAGACCGCCGTAGCCATCCTTGGGGCCACAATCTGTACCCGATTGCCAGCCACTAAGCCCCAGATCTTTCCACAAGATCCCCCATTAGTGGATGTCTGTGCGTCGCGCGATGATGCTGATCCCATGAGATGGTGCTAGGTAGGATTAAACGGCGCAGCCTTGTTGAGACATCACCCCTTCCTTCTCTCCTGCGGCACCTCCAATTGAGCCTCCAAATTTCCCCCTCTTTGCTACCTGAGCACTCACCTTTCACTACGCGCTGTTGGGGGGGTAAAAAAAAAAAACCTTGCAAAAATCCAAAGACCGAACCCCGCCACCCGTGAAAGTTGCAATTATTTTGCGCAGGTGAAATGAGGACAAAAGCATGAAAAGCATAGTGTGTGACTTCAATGGCCCCTGATTATTTAAAGCGGGCGCCAGGGAAGCCCGTTCCATGGTTCAGTGTACCCGCTTCCGTCCATGGGTCGGGAGAACTCTGTGAGTCTACGAAAGTCCACCGTGTGGGAAAATACGTCTGTTCTTCGCAATCTGTAGCCCCTCTTTGATTTCCTTAAGGGAAGCTTGTCTTCTCCCTTTTCTTTTCGCCATGTCCGCTCCAACAGGGCAATTTCACAGGCTGTCTATTGGTCAAAACATGCCAGATACAGTCCTGCCTGCTAGAGCGGCCCGCGCGGGGCGGTCGGACACTTCCAACGACAGTGATCGTGGAGAAGACGATAGTTCTCCAGAGGAAAGCTCCAGTGATGGAGAAGAGGAGGAAGAGGATGACGATGAAGAAAGCAGCGATGTCGAACAGTCCGAATCGAATAGCGCCTCCGTCCTCGCAACGTCCGGTATTACCTATGACCTCAGCCAACTAGACTCCGAGTCTGAAGCCAGGGCCATTGTGGGTTTGACCGGCCGTTTCGATGTCGTCAACTGTCGTTCTACTCCCACTGGCTATGACTTTCAGCTGTCAGATCGGCCACAGGTGCACATTGGCGCGGACTCGTCTACCTGCACTTGTGCTGTCTTCCAGGATCGACCGGACGGGGCGTGCCAGCACATCTTTGTGAGTGTGGTCTTTTGGGAAAGGAAGCTTGAAGGCTGAAGGGCTTGAACCGACAATACTAATACCTCATCCCCTGAACAGTGGCTCGTCGACCAACTACACGGCTGCTTCCTCCCGACACCTCTGCCAACGGAGGTGTCACTGACTCCAGACGGACGTCCGGACCGACTCCCTCGCATTGAGGACCTCCTAAAGGGTAATCTAATATCAGTCGCAACGCAGCTTAAGTGGCAGTACCTACGGGAGGAGGAGGATGGGATGACGCGGACAGAAAAGGTCCGGGACATCTTCTCTGCGTTCAACCGGACTCTCCCAGAAGACACCCGCCGGGACTTGACAGAGACTACCGAGCAAGCACGAACGGCAGAGGAGTGCGTGGTCCAGGGAGATTTCGAAGCGACGATGTTCCGGCTCGCAATGCACGACGACGGGGTTTTCAACAGCCTCTGCAAGGCGATGCCCGCAGGCGCGTGTGCGGCCATCTACTTCGACAAAGTACAAGAACAGTCACGCCGACTACTCAACGACTTCGACCGATACTGCGCAACCGGCGAATTACCCGCGGACCCCGTGAGCCCAGGGCTGGGTGTAGAGGTCAACGACGTCGTCACACAGCTCCAGCGTTCTGTATCCCGGATTGAAGTCAACATCGCAGCGCGTGCCCCGCACGGCTCGGAAGGCGCCGCCGAAGCCCTCGTGTCTCTCCTGGAGTCAGTCGTGGCTCGCAATAATGACCCCCTCGAAGGTAATCCCCCGGGTCGGCAGTCCTTCCACGGTGAAGACGAGGACCAGCGCAATCTATACCACTTGCTCATCGGGTCGGTCGAAACAGACTCCGAAACAGACGCGCGGCACTTTGTCCTTCACGCGCTTGATGCCCTGCCGCCGGTGGACCTCCACCAGTGCGCCAACCGGCTGCGTGACATCCTTCGCAAGATCGAAGTCAACCGTGCCCCGAAGCCATATCTTCTTCATCTAGGAGCGTTGATCCGTACCGCTGAATCTGCCGCTGCCGCTGCTATGGGATCGGGACAAAAGCGACCGGCGGCTGGGAATGGCAATTCCGCGGGATACTCTAAACGAACCCGTTGAATTGTGTTCTTGATCTTTTTTATACATATGTTTGTTATCTTGTTCTGGGAGGCCATCGTGTTCATTCATTGCAATACCCCGCTGCATCGTGTCTTTACGTTTCATCAGCGACGAATCGCTCCAGTTCTATTTTGCTTCACAGTCATGTCATGCCATTCGCTTACTATTTACGATCATAAGAGCTGTTAGTATTTGCCATAGTCATTTTCATATACAATCACTATCACACACATCACGGACAAAGTTTTCAAATCCACTGGAACCATCAACATCTATGACCACATAAAAAGCAAAATATAAGTCCCATGATTAACATGTCGTCATTCCCAAACCCAGCACTACGGCATTGGGTTTCCACGTCCATGGTACGGCCCTGTAAGCCGGGTATCACCGCCCATGTGGACAGAGATGAGCTAGCCCAATTTACGACGTTGAACCATGGAACGGATCCTCGGTAGGCTGTGGGTCACCCACAATTTGGAAATGGCTCGTTTATTTTCGTGGTTTTCGTCGTGCAACAAATACACGAATCAGCAAGACCAAAATATAAAGCCGAGATCAAGACCGGGGGTCATCCATGGATACATACATAATTCCAAATGTAGATCTTGAGATCCAGATCCGTCCGATCGCTTCGCTTCGCACATCCGATGATCTATGTATCGATGGAGTACTCTGTACTAACATTTTGGGTACGGATATACATAACTATTGGGACCACACCCCATCTTAATTTAAAGGCTGCCCCTCAATTCACGCCCAATGCACAAGTTAAGTTCAATACCGCTCACCAATAATGCGCCGGCGAAATACGGTGTGTTAATCGTAAGATTAGGCATAAATGCTACATACTGTACTGTATATTACACTATGGGAGTTTATCGGGACAAAGGATCCCACGTGCACAATCGAAAGTGGATATTGTCATGCCACGTTTTCCACGTTTTGACGGAGATTGATGCCCAGGTATGTGATTTGGATTAGTATGTACGTATTATTCGGATTCAAGCCGAGTTTAAGCCGTGAAAGTCAATACTGGGCCGTGCACACGGCTGTGACCCTGGATCCTTTGGATCCTTTGGGGGCTAGTTTGATTAGTGCCGTGTTTAGCTTATAGGGTGGGCTTGTTCCGGTGTATGTAGGTGGACACCTGCGGCAAAGGTGTTATGTATCTTGACAATGGCATTGTATGCAGGGATACATTTATGTAGTGTCAAAGGAAAGAAGGCGAAGATGCAAGGGTGCAATAGGTGTATGTCAGTCATGAGAAAAAAACTATATCATTCGAGTTCTGCTAGCAGCAACTGGCCAGTTTAGAATGTTGCCAGTGTGGCAGGACACCGGCTTAGCCATAAAACGAGCAAGGATTATATGGTAAAAGTCTATTTACATTAATGGGCCACACTAACTATATATTTCATGTCCGTCCACGGGTATAAAAGAGCCCTGGAGCTTTGCAATATATAGTTACCATGCTCCGAAATAACGAACTATTGATCTAACTTCTATATACAACACCAACAATGGGTGATAACATCCAACAAAGGACATCGAAGTGTTATCATAATTATAGTTTTCGTTATACCATCTTAAGTCAAATCAGATTAATAAATTCCGTAGTCAAGGAATGAGCCCGTATAAATGGCCGAATATTCTTGTTATGAATAGTATTTTAAGAAATTGTCTGTCAAAGGAACATAGGAGAGAACGGCGAGGTTTACTAGGTTTATGCACATTCACCTCAAAGTTTGGACTGACGTATTAAACCTGGATCTATGGATGACCTCCGACACCTATTTCGGTAATCCACTTCACAATTAGACCACCACTCCAGTTCAGTGCACCCTGTTTACTTTCTAACATCTACAAACCAACCACGAAAAGCTAACCCATCATCGAGAACATATTCAAGCAAAAAATGAACATGCGACGAGATTCAGAGGAAGGCCCCGGGATACTCACCCGCGGCAACTGGAAATCATGGAAGAATGAGATCGAGAAATACGCCCGGAAAGAAGGAGTCTGGAAGTACTGCAACCCCGACGCCCCAGGTGAATACTATCCCGAGCTCCACGAACCCGAGAAACCACACATTTCCACAGTCCGACCCGAAGCAAAATCCATCGTTGACCTTGGAGAGGATGACTTCATCGAGCTATCTTCGATCGTGGACCAATACTGGAAGCAGATTCGCACATACGAAAATATTCAAACAAAACTGCAGGTCATCTTCGAACTTATCGAAAATCATGTCGATTACGAACACTTCAGTCTCATTAAACATGCAGAAACACCGCTGGAGCAGATGGCTGTGCTATCTGTCAAATTCAAGCAATCTCGCCTAGAAGATCTGCAGCCAAGATGGGAGCGTATACAGGAACTGGCTAATAAGCCGGATGTGCAAGCCCTATTTAAAGTATGGAATTCCTTGTTCACAGACTGCGATGGGTATCTTTCTGGTTCTGCTCGAAGGCGGGATGTCTTCTGGGACTGTGTGGAGAGAGCGGGAGATATCTCTAGGAACTGGCTACCTCTTACTTCCCAACACTGGATTCAAAAACCCGAACATGTTGAGTCGAAGAACTATGGGGATGTATACGCGCAATCTCGTTCGGCTAGATGTGATGCTATCACTTCTCAGCACTGGATTGAACACTCCGACGACGTTGAGCCGAGGAATGAGGATGATTTCACTCAGCCTTGTTCACCAGCTAGACGGGAGTCTACCACTTCCCTGGACTGGGTTGAAACCCCCGACCATTCCGAGTCAAGAAACTATAGCGATGTTTACGTTCAGCCTCATTCACCAGCTATGCTGGAGCCGGTGGCTGCCACTTTCCTGGATTGGATTAAAACCCCTAATAAATGTGAGTCGAGAAGCTATGGGGATGATTGCGATCAGCCTCGTTCACCGAGTTCTATCACTTCACAGGATTGCATTGAACCCCCGATCATTTGAAGTCGAGGAACTATGGGGACGGTTGCGCTCAACTTCGTTCACGGGCTAGACGAGGGTCTATCGCTTCTCGGTACCGGCTTGGCTACTACGAGCCTGTAGTGTCGACTGGAGGCGCGCCTATCGTTTCTCAGTACTGTACTAATGACTACGAGCCTACGGTGTCGACTGGGCGCACTTCTATGAGTCCCCAGCCTGGTTCTGTGGCAGCTCAGAGTGATCAGCGTGAGGAGGTCTTTGGGGACAATTTGGAGATAACGGGTCTTATACGATAATTGAGATTACCCGGGATGGAAGAAAGCGAAATCTAATTGCAGTAATCGGCATGAATGGTAGACAATAATCGCTATGGTGCATTTTATCTGGGTGGATTTGGTGCTTTGAGGTGGGACATTTGTTTCTTTTCTCTTTGAGAGAAACTCGGCTCGCGGAGTTTATATAGTTCTTTGCTCCTGGCTTGCTGCTACCATTGCTTGATGAGGTCCTTGATATTAGATAAAAAATTTTCTTGAATTTTCTAAGGAACATGATTGAATGGTCCTTGGATAGTTTATGTTATGAAGTAAAATAGAAATCAATAACGTGTTTCTATTCAATAAACTCTTCTTCTCTGGTCAGCTACTCTCTCACTGCTATTCTTCAATGGTACTCCTTTCTATTTGATCCGTTCTCTCAATCATAGAAAGTCCAGTATCATTCTTAACAGCAGGTTTTGCCTATGGCACACCATAATCGAGTCGTCTCACTCCCTACGTAACTCTCGTTTTCTGCGGGGTGTGACCAGTGTTGAGGCAGTAATTCTTGTTGTGAATTCTGCGGTGGTTTCTCCTGAAGATATTAGCCAATTCGAAGCACGATATCAAAACGCCTAAATGGCTCCCTCCTCACGACAGCATAATTTGTGGTGAGGGAGGGGGCAGAAGGGGTAATTTGTTATTCTCTAGAAATAAATTGAGGTGGGTTAAATAACTAGCCTGTGGAAGCCTGACAAGGATGCGCCACAAAATTTCGCATAAAAAAGAGACATTAAAACGACTTTGGCGTATCATCTTATATATGACCTTCCTCATAGTACTGTGAGCCAGATAGATCAGATTAACAACGGCTAAGTACTCTTGTTCAAAGATTGTGTTTTTTCGTAAAACTTAGGGTAGGCATATGCTCAATTCCCTGTATTTGGTTTATAATGCACATTTTGACAAGACCTTACAATAACAAGGCCGGCTGGCCCAATGGCAAGGCGCTTGACTACGAATCAAGAGATTGCAGGTTCGATCCCTGCGTCGGTCACTTCTTTTTTATTATTTTTTAAATTCCTCCAATCAAAAATGTCTTTTTGCCTTCTTTTTTTTTGGCATTTTCCTGGTCAAAAAACACTTGACGGAATTTAAATTGCTCTCAGTGTTTTCGATGAGCACAACATATACAATTAGTCCGAAATATCATAGCTATCGAATGTGGCAGTCAGGCTAAGCCGATATATATATCCTAAACGTAACATCACACCCAGATTAACCAGTTATAGAACGTTTCACCAAATAAACGGAAGATTCATAGTCGCAAACAAGATGAAGTTGGATTCAATATCCTACATACACAGTGTTCATCCAGAAAGATCCAATACAACCCGACCCTGCAGCTTCCCCTCCTCAATCTCCTTGAACACCCCAGTCAAAGCATCCATCTTCTCAGTCCGATAATGCACTTTGATAACACCCCTCGCAGCAAACTCCATAGTCTCAATAGCCTCCTTCCGACTCCCAACCGCTGATCCCGTAATAGTCCACTGCTTGCCAACCATCGCAATCGGGAACGCCGTCGCAATAGCCTGCGGGTCATTTTCCGGCATGCCAACGCAGACAAGCGTACCATTGAAGCGCAGCAACGGCAGCGCCTGCGCATATGCTGCATTCACAGCCGTGCAGACAATCGCTGCGTGTGCGCCCAGCCCATCCGCCAGCGAATGGATATGCTTCGTCAGCGCGGCGCCATTATCGTCCCTCGGGAACTGCGTGATGTCCACGAAATGCTCCGCCCCGGATTCCTTAACTAGTCCCTCCTTGCTACCATGGTCAATACCGATTACCCGCAGGCCCATTCCCCGGCTCGCGAGCTGCACGGCGAGGTGGCCTAGGCCGCCGCCAGCGCCGGAGATTACCACCCATTGTCCGGGCCGCGCGTTGCTGCGCTTCAGTGCGGAATATACGGTTACGCCGGCGCAGAGGAGCGGTGCTGCTGCGGCGGAGTCGAGTCCGTCCGGGATGGGGGTTACGTAGTTTGCAGGTCCTAGTGTGTATTGTTGGAATGTTCCTGGGGTGTAGTAGCCGGAGACTTTCTGGTTGAAGCATAGTCCGTCGGCGCTGGCTTGGCAGGGTTCTGGTTGAGGGTGGTGTTAGGCTCGAGGTCTTGGTTGTTGAGGAGAATAAAGTGTATACGTACGGCAGTTCCCGCATGCGCTGGAAACCCATTTGATGCCGACTCGATCCCCGATCTTTAGGTTTGAAGATTCGGTGCCTGCACCGAGCTTGACTACCTTACCAACACCTTCGTGACCGCCGACCTGGCCTGGCTGAGTTGGGTTTGGGAATGCGCTCCACTGGCGGGTATTAGTTAGTGTTCGGGACATTAAGAGAATAGGATGTATGCATACTTTGTTGGTCATGATACTGAAGTCTGAATGACAAACACCCGAGTGTGTTCTAACATTGTCAGTATCATTCTAGGATCGAAATCTCGATAAATAAGGCGCACAGGTTAATCAACACCTCCCCGGTACCAGGCTCTGGGACATCTAATTCCACAACCTTTGTCGAAACCGTCCCAGGCTGGTCGTAGATGACGGCCTTCTGCTTGGAGGGGATTTTAGGAATGGTCATATTGACTGATAGATAGAAAGGGGTCGGATATTGGATTGTGAAGTTAACCTTAATTGGGTGTTTCAGTAGAGATATATCTGCAGAGTAAAGGCTTAATTGAAGGCTAACATGACTCTTAAGTAGATTATTCCTTATCGTGCCAAGTACATAAAAGAGGAGAACTGCATCAACGAATTGCGGGGTTTGGGACTTTCGGATCGACGGATCATTCGCACACGCTGGTTAATGCAGCTGGAACCCGGATGCACGCTGTGCATACCGAGGAAGCTGGCTATTCATCCATGTATTCTAGTAATATGTTCCTTTGTGTCCGGATGAATTGAGGGGAAAGATGCGGAGGACCTCGGCCCCATTAAGCTGCATATATCCATTAAAATCGGCATCAATTGCTGGAATAAGCACCAGAGTCAGAGGATTATACTATAGAAGAAAAATAGAGAGATGGAAGGTTGAAAGGGCTTTATATATATCGGAAAACTCCCAAGGTCCTCTCGTTGATGACCACATCGATTTTATAACATAATCCCCGCTTCTGGTTTGGGGTTCATTCCCCTGCCGCTTTGTTACATATGTGTGTCGAATATCTTTTGCCAATGGGAATCCTCAACCAAAAAATCCATAGAAGAGGGCAGCCTTTTTGCAACCTTTAAATGTAGCAAGGTCAGGTATGTGGTATTAACTGTGCCAAAGATACATACGGCACCTACAGCCACAAAGCAGAAGACAATCCAAGATATCCATTCCGCTCGGGTCGGAAATGTGTAGTTCCAACTATAATGGTAGTAGTTAGCCAATATATGTAAATTGTATATCTATCGACAAAAGCAACTCACGCAGCAATATGAATACCAAAATAGGACAAGCTAGTAAGACCGAATAGTATGACCGCTATGTGGATAATCCATGATGGTGTCTCTACAGGCATTTCCTTAAGTAGCTCAAAGTCTTCTCCATCTTTTGACAGAAAAAGTGTTTTCATGGCATCCAGGCTATAAGTAAGATGTGTTCTTCCTTGAGAGGTGCGAGGCGGTGCGTCCATCCAACGGAATGTATAGCATTGTGTAGCTCCCCCGGTAGATTGTCGCGATCGTAGTGCAAAGGCACTATAATTGGGGCATCCATATCTTTGCTTGAACCACCAAAAGCCATATATGACGATTCCTAAAAAGCAATAGGCGACGGTAGCTAACTCGAATGGCGACACTGATAGATGGGATGCTCATCTTGTGATGATATTGCAGATAAACCAAGAGACTTGGAGCAAAGTAAAGAGCTTGCCCAGCCAATCTTGTTCGGCATGTTCTTGAATATATTGCTCCCGGAGATCCAACGGAGAAACCATGCCGGATTGGATAAGCAACACCATTTCATCCTCGCAGGTGACAGTGTAGATCCGGTCATCCTGTGTCTGTAAAGCCAATCCTTCTGCATTGATGAAGAAAGTCTGAGTGTAAATCCATTTCACAGAGTCTGGATTTTCCTGTGCTCCATCAAATAGTTCATTCCGTAATCCTCCATGTGATCCTGATCTTGCTTGTCTTCTGATTTTTGCCTCTGCCTGGACCACGTTGTATCTAGCCCTGGAGTTTATTACGTTGAACAACTCTAGAAAAGCAACGCCTAGAATCAACTCCGGGACGAAGAGGGCTATAAGCTACGTGCGTACGCACATTATTTGTCGCCGTGCCTCGGAAATCTGTCGACTAGGTATGTCAGAGTGAGTGATCATCCAAGTGCAGGAAAATTGGTAGAGAAACAACTCCAAACAATGTCCCATGTGGAGCGGTTGTTTGTATCGAACTGCCAGCTAAGTAGTCCGCTGGATGCAGAGACACGATACTCCACTGGAAGCAGAAACAACAAACAACAAACACAACAAAGTCAGCATTGGGCACTCTGTACACGAAATTTTGATGAAGAGGTTCGATCACAGCTTATAGATTCAGCTGAGGTGGGATACTTCTTCACGTGAGAACTTGCAGGGTGTTAGAACTAGTTCAAATAGGGCACCTTGAGGCTGCCGGTCGTTTTTTATATTTAACCCGAAACTCCCTGGAAGTATGTCCTTGTGGAAAGTATCTAGGTTGATATTGGGAAGGAATTGCATAATCTTTATTCGCTAATATCTTGCAGTAATGTCTGCCAAGGCTCGACATTGCGGTTTCCCATATAAATTGTTCTAGGAAATTAAAATTTGATGCCAAGTGGTGAGTACGAGGAGAAGCTCCACTGTATGCTCGTGCTCAGGGAGGATCGCCATCTTGACATTTATGCCCTTGGGATCAACAGTGGACAATATTATAGTATTTCAATACTGTACCCCAGAAAATAGCCAAAAGAAGGGTATACTCCGTATAGCTATCACGTTCTTGTTATTTTGTTTAATTTGGGGTAAAAGGCAAAAGAAGATCCCCGAATACGAATTATTTAAAAGTTAGCAAGATCTTGCCCCACCACTTGGTTACTAGTGGGTACTTATACGAGAAAAGAGGCTGGTAGGGTACATGGCTTGCTTGTGCTAGAAGATCTAAATATTGAGAATAACCCACCGGGAAAGTTAGATTCAACGACCTATCCTTCATGCATAATTTATTAGGATTACCCACCGAAGTTATTCTGTGGGTTTTCGAGAGCTTCGATAGCGTCACAGACGCGCTTCACCTGTCTCAATGTTGCAAAAATTTGAACGGATTATTCAACCACCCAAGATATCAAGCAAAGATATTAGAATCAATCGTAATAGGTGTAAGTTTAAAGCATACATCTGCACACGAGATCTCGCTGACTTTACCAGGACCAATTACCTCTTCCGAAAAGCCCTGACGCCAGTTGGCTTGAAGCCCACTTCGGGGCGGGCTCGCTCTGGAAACCCACTGAATCGGAGCTTCCCGCCAGGCTCACAGATGCAGACACGCGGAGATTTCTCACAACTGTTGGGTTTCCATTAGTCCAGTGTACTGGTATCCAATGGGACCCAAGTGGATTGAAGAAGAGTGTAGATGCCGGTGATGAGCTCTATGCATACGATGCCGATGAAATATTTGGCCGTCGGTGGGCGGATGACGACTCCCCGCCAGTCAACTTCTGTTATAACTTCGGTTGTATTGGTGGCGATGCCGTGGTGATGGTAGATGCTGAGGATGGTCTTATCATTCACTACGACTTAGGCGGTTACGGTGACCAGGCTGATAGAGGTTTGATTGCGAGTTCCCTGCCTTCGCTGTTGGTGCTCTTAGGGACGATAGAGACGGTCATCAAGCGAATAGGGGAGGAACCACAGGGGCTGAGTTGTGAAGCATTTGAAAATCTTCGAACCACGATCTTTTGTCAAGTACGCAAGATAATGGCGGATTATGATGATTGTTTTGAAGGCGACTCTCGCTTTTGGAATGAGTTACTCGAATAAAGGGCAAGTACAGTTTAGATGCCTTTCCACTTGCACTGTACACCCTCGACAAATCCTACTACTTTCATGGTACTATAAATGAACCGAATCTTGGTCAACGTTAGTTCCTATCTTCCATCTAGCAAGGGTGGCTGTATTAAAGATCAGTGAAACTGATGTGGACAAGCTAAATGCAAAGCATCGAAGCATTTCCGTCTAGTCACAAGGTGTTTCTTCATAGGGACGTGATAAACCAGACTGTTAATTCAGCAAGCGGTTGATCTGCACTCGAGGTACCGTTGAAATTACCATTTACCATCCTCGGCCATGTTCTCGGACTCGGTGAGTCATGCAAGATGGTGACAACAACTCTTGCCGAAGTGCCCCAAGGGCGAATTAAAATCAGCGTTAGAAAACGCCTTCAGTCTTAGTTATACTGAATCCACCAAGTAGGTCACTCGTCAGGTGGAGTCGTACGCATCCTTGCCCAAGCTATACCAAGATATAGCCGTGTTGGAAAACAACTCCAGCATTTTGGATGTCGTTCTGGACGTCTAAGGATTTCTTGCCTATGTCCCTCTTATACCTGGGAGATAATATGTCCATTGATCTATGTTTTGCTAACCCTGATCCGCTAATATGCACATGGAATCAAACCCTGAAAGATATCAGTACTATGGTAACAAAACTCGCACAAAATGCTAAAAAGCTCATGCATAAGACGCCCAACCTATTAAAGTTAGTAAACCGGCCGATATCAAATATGGAAAAAGAAACATACCACAGTACAACATGGCAAGATTCTTTTCATCACATGCCTGCTGCACCAATTCATTGACAGTAGCAGTGACGCTGAGCGTTTTGCTCAATTTTTTCGCCACAACAGTCAACGCACGATCAGCTTCACTAGGTTCGTTTTCATTCTCACTCTTCGAGACAAGAGCATCAGCTGCACCGGGCAGAGCTGGAGGTCCATCACCGGCTTGGTTGTCTTGCATCTGCATTTTCTTAATCCGAAGCGGGGAGACAGTCCAACTATACAAAGGATCATAACGTAACACGTCAAGGATCGTCATTATGCTGTACGATTCTTGGCGAAGTGCTTCCAGGGTAAATTCGCAACAGCGCCGGAAAACGCCTTCGGTTTTGGTGACGCCGAATCCATCGACCAGATCACGCGTCAACCGGAACGGTACTACCTCGGGAACAGGTAGTACACGACCTTGTTCAAAGGCCACGCCGAGGTCAATGTGCACTACTTCTCCGGTCTTCTCATCTAGGAGAATATTATGTCCATGTCGATCGCCGAGGCCGAGGACATGTCCGAGGATAGAGATCGCAGCGGTACTTCGTGTGTAGGCTAACCGCTTGCTGAACCAGTCATCGGGGTTGTTAAACTTCTCCATGAAGAAATACTTCATTACTGGATGGAAATGCTCGGTCACCTGTCGATAAGTTCTGACGCGTTGCTCAAATGATTTGGTCTGCACATCGGCGATGTGTTTCCGACAAGAGTTGGGTTTCATGTCCTTCGGGAAGTATTTTTGATGTGCGGGCATCAGGTAGTCATGCAGAGGAATCGTGTTCGGAACGAACTCAATAATTCCTGCGCTTGGTGTCAATGGGAGAACCTTGTATGTCCGAATGCCTAAGCTCCGCTGGCGTGTGGGTTGGTGGTCTTTCAGAAGACTGCTGACTTGCTCAAATACTTGCTCCATGATGGCGTCTTGCCGCAGGTCATCATTTCCTCCCTTGTACTGTTATTTTGTTAGTCTTTGGTTAAAAGCGTTGACTGGACTTCGAGTAAAGATCTTACCAATTGCTTGTAGCGCTCGCCGTTGGATGCAATGGCGGTCACGATTTTCGGGGCACTAACACCGGAAGCAATTGTGAACTCGGGTTGGAACTTCGTGACCGTAGGAACGCGACTATAGTCACAATCTGCACGGAGGTCGATTTTCATTGTCGGTGGCGGTAGTTTGTAGGTGATGGCATCTTGTCCAAGGCGCTGGCCCGTAGCCAAGTTCTTCAGCGGAACTTTAGCACCACTTTTATATTTGCTGTCTGGTTTGTCAATTGCAAATCGAACATAACTGATGTTCACATTGTGGACAGCAATCCAAGTCAGACTGATGTGACTATCGTTCTTCAGACGATCTACAAGCTGATTCGCAGCACGGAAACGTGAGTGAGACGACTGATCTTTGCCTCCTTTGGACTTGCTGCTGGCGAAAATTTGGTACATGCCATGGAAAGGATGCTCAACACATATTCTGAATACCAATTGAGTGAGCAATTTCTGGAAGTCATCAGAGACATCGAGTAGACGAGAGGATAGCTGGTTCATTAGTGGTGCAAATTTTCGGCTGGGTACCTCGTTGAGATACCGAGAGACAGCTGAATTTGCAGTCTCACTGTCTGAGTTGTCAAGCCAGAGTGCACAGAAACGTAGAGCATCGTTGTTGTAAGTGTCGCTTTCTCTCAAACTGAGAAGGTAATTCTCAAGGCACTGCTGCAGGAAAGCCTCCCGACTTCGCAACAAACGTTGATATTCGCGGTCGTCAAGGTCGAACCATTGCTTTGCTTTGGCTCGATAGTTCTTCAAGTATTCCCTCTCTTTGCCTGTGGCATTCTTCATCAAGTCTTCCAGGCCAAGGACTTCTTTCTCCTTGCGATCACGTAGTTGTTCCACTCGCTTGAAATCCTCAAGTCCATCGGGGTTCAGTAGCTGCTGATCACAAAAGGTTGCAAACCCGTGATAGACCCGTCCAGCCTCTTCTCCGTCGGAGCCTCCCTTTAATTCCTTGACCGCAGGATAAAGGTACTCTTGAAGAATCGAGTCGGGCTTTTCTAAGCGTGCTTCAGCAACGTGGTGACCCTAAACACGATATTAGAATTTTGGACGGAAAGTCTTTTGGGGTTCCCTTCAGCAGTATCTGAAAGGACATCGGACTTACCAAAGTCACGAGAAGTTCAGCCCGGCTGAGGGGGATTGCCTGCTTATGAAGGTCATTCTGGCCCTTCAGTTGCTGGAGCATGCGAATTGACGCGGTCATCTCTCCTTGATCCCACAGAACATTGGCAAGATCGAATTTTGCAGCTCCATCAATGTTCATTCCCAACGCTGCGCAAGGTCCGGCGAGCTTCGAAAGGCTCATTGCAGATTTGAGCGATGCCTGGGAGATACCATGAGCTCTTGTGATTTCCAAGGATTGTCGAATGACTTTCGCTTCTAGGAGTCGCGAATCCCCGAGACTCAGTTTTGTCCGTGACTTGAGGATGTCGTTTTTCCTGATTGATGAGAACAACGCCTCATGCCACGACAAGATTTCTCCAACTTCATGATAACTGCTCCAGTTAGTGGGTATTATATAAATAAGTTTGAAAAGGGAAACACGCACCTCTCGGTTTTCAACCAGCTGCTTCTCGCCATAATATTCTGCCACCCTTTCTCCACATCTTCAGAACATGGAGAGTGCAAAATGTCGCTGATCTCAGTCATAATCCCCAACGTACGCATCGAATTTCGCAACTGAATAGCGGATCCACTGGTTTTGAGAAGAGAGCCCAATGTTGTCAACAGACCGCTTTCGATTGAGCCAGTAACCTCAAGTAGAGAGCCTGAGGTATTGAGACTTTGGAATGTACGGAATACAGTGGAAGATGGCGATGCATCCAGAGGTGATACCGGAATATCCCATTTTTGAAGACTAGTTGCAGCCTGTAACATGCTGTCAAAGGCAACAGGGGCATCGTTTGCACTGCTGGACGCAGAGAGCATTGTATTGGCAATGCCTTGAAGGTTGGTGGCATTCAAAGCTTTCAACACTCCGTACGATTCTGCGTTGTCGGACATTTGTATTTCACTGTCGTATTTTGCACTCTGGAACAGGAGATTTTTGAACCCCGAGCTTTCATATTCAAGCCGTTCCATGACGCTGTTCAAAGATGAGCTCTGCTGAATGCCATAAAACAAATCTGGATCATCAATGTTTTTGAAAACATCATGCAGTAAAGCAGGCGGTGGTTCATATTTAACGACAGATGACCGACGAGATGTCGCAACAACTCGGGATGTATGTATTTCCAGGAAAAGTAGCGAAGTCTTATGCAAACCGCAGCGATGTGCAGCCAAAGATGCCTCTCCAAAGTCAATATCAAGCCATTTATCGCGTTGGACTATGGTTGATTCATCTGGCACAGGTTGATTGCGAAGATATAGAATGCAGTTGATCACAAGCTGAGCGTGAGGTAGTTTTTCTTCGCCGGCCTCGGACAACACCTGCTGGAAAGCAGCAGAAATATCTTCTCGGATCTCCCCCTTTTCGCCTTTATCCTCCCTTTCTGAGAGCAAAACATCATGAACCACGTATGGCAACAGCTGCACTGCTAAGCCAGGAGTCACGTTGAGAACTTTGCGAAGAGAGCCAATGACTGGGTCTTCTAAAGCAGCATTCGATAAGAACAGGGAGACACCACGAGCCCAGTCAGCAACTAACAGCCCAGAGGCGCTGGTTGTTGCATTTTCGCATCTCTCCTGCTCAGAGTTTGAAAGTAAAATAGCGGGACATGTGTATGGGTTCCAGATGAGGGCTTTCATCAGAGATTCGGGAATCACCTCGATGCAACCTTGGAAATCCGGATAATGCGCGATATTGCTGACGACCAACTGCAAAGTACGCTCAACTAGGCCGGCTTCAATATGACTTTGCACGTGTAGCATATCGCAAAGCACCCGGAGAATTCTGGCTTTAGAATGGCAGAAAATATCAGACGACAGAGAAGATTCGGGGGACTGAAACAGTGAGAGATCCTGTTCTCGCAGGAGCAATTGGTCGATTTTCCCAGTGGCAGCGAAGGATCTTCCAATGACCCGAGCGGCCCAAAGTCGATACTGAGGTCCTCCATTGGATGTTTGAAGTGTGTGCCACAGAGACACAACATGGGAAGCAGAATCCACATCTTCAGTCGAGACCCAATTCCCAGTATCGGATTTTTGTTCGAATTCAGGACATAAGAGC